CACACACACACACATCCAGGAAGCAATATAGGAATATATAGGAATATAGGAATTGATAGGAATTGTCATATGAATGTCCGTCTGATCGGCATTTATATCCAATGCTTTGGAATATTTAATATATATTTCAGTCTAAGTGCTAAACAGAAAACGAGAATAATCAATTTCTACAAATAATTAGTTAATTAAAACTCAAAAAACTATATCAATATTCACAAAAAATAGGAATAAAAAAATTTATGTAAAGTATATATAACAAAGGAAATGTATACACAGATGAAAATATCAAATCATATAAAACAAAGAGACGATACAAATAAAAAGAGAGAATCTAGGAAGAAGCAGGAAGGAAGAAGAAAGACAAGAAGACCACATACTGCTTTGTATTTTGACAGCTGCCTCATCCTTTGTCATCTGCCTCTTCGGAGACTTTTCTACCAAAGGAAAGAGAAAAAAGACAGAACATCAAGAAGCTGAAAATGACAGTAATTAGAAGAGTAAATCAAAGATAGATTAATAAGAAAATGTCAGGTCGTCTTTGTGTTTGTGTTTATGTTTTTTTCTGTCTTTTTTTTAATACGTACCGACCTGTATAGACGTGGGTTCTCTTTGACCGGTCGAACGAAAGTCGTTTATCAATTTCCTGTCTTACTTTCCCTAATCTAAGGAGCGGAACGTGTGCTAACCGAAGCCGTTGTTCAGTTCGAGACGTCCCACCCGAGTCATGATCTTTTGCTGCATGTTGAGAAGGTCACGTAAGGTCGAGCGGAGGTCACGGTCGGTCAGATCAGAGTCGTCCTTGTGGGAGAGGAGATCGAACGACTTGAGGGCAGTCTGGAGCAACGCGCTGGTCGTCGTGGGAGTGGGAAGGCGTCGAGTCGTTTCCGAAGCCGACGAGGTCAGCGTAAAGACGGTGTCATTGCTCCGACGTCGGAGATCGTAGGAATCGAGGGCGCTTTTGGGCCGCTGCGTCACGTGGGCGTCCCGCGGCGTCTCCCGGGGACAACAGGCGCTCGCGGGACGGACCGGAACCTCATCCCTCTCAGCACGGACGCCTACATCGCTCCCCTCTTCCTCCCTGCCTTCCCTCGCCACTTTCTCCCGCACCGTCAACCCTTTCGCTTCCTCTTCTTCTTCGACCAAGAGGCTTTCCACGGTGTTCTCTCGCGTGATCGTCCTCGCCTTTGAAGTCGCCATTTCGCGCACTCACACTCGCGGACGGAGCACTTCCCCCACTTTCCTTCCAAGAGGCGCCAAAGTCTCTCGTAAGAGGACTATCGACAAAGTGCCATCGCAAGGCTTAGTATCCGCGGAAGCATCGGCGAAGCCCCGCGTAAGCCGATAGGGGGTTTTAGGTCATCTTGAGTGACACGGCTTTCCTTCATCACGGCGGAGGTCGCTTTATAGGCTGGATATGTATACAGGGGGAGAGAGAGAGAGAGAGAGAGAGAGAGAGAGAGAGAGAGAGA